CGGCCGGACGTCAGCCGCCCCCCTTGTTCCCTGTTGGGGGCCGCTTCTCCCCAAGAAACCCTAGAAACACCGTTGGTTGACCCCTGGAACGGGCGCGAACCCTGGCTTTCCAGTCCCCAAAGAAGTTTAAGGACCTCTCCGCTGACAAGGAACTGGGACACCGGGCAGGCTCGCATTCCGTCTTCTTCGCCGGGCATCTCCGGCCGATGATGGCGAGGCCAAATCCTTCAGCATTGGCAGCACTGCAGCAGGCTATAGGGCGACCTATGAGGGTCGGGCTTGGCACCTAGTGGAAGACCGGTCACTGCGGACTTGTGCAGGGTGCGGCGACCGCAACCATTTCCGCGATCTCACCGGTCAATGTCGTGGGGGCCGAGTCTGAATCTTGTTTCCACTTTAGTTTAGGCAACCCTTGAGTCCTTGATGAGAAACCGGATCATGACCTGTTGCTGCATGTCTCAACTTGATGGCTCATGGCAACTTGCATAGGGCTGCAGCGGCTGTGTCGTATTGCTGCCCAGGTTATGAGAGTCGACGGTAAGTATCTTGGTACGGCGTACTTCGTGACTGTGCCTCCTTCGCCTCAACCCTCCAGTCTCTTCGTTTATGTACCTCACACTCGAGAACTCTAAGAGAAGTTCAGTCATGTAGCAATATATAAGGCGCTCTCTTCTCTTTGTTTCGTTGTGTTCCGTCTTCATTAGCATCCAATAACCACTAAGTATCTCGGTCTATCACTCCCTTGAGCTCCTGTATCACAACAGGATCCAGCTTGAAAACTTTCACTGTCTCTTGGTATCAACATTCACACCTAAAACGGCGAGCTTTCTGGCTTTGCTCAAGGTTCTTACCCCATATCCTTTTTCCAAAATGAAACAAGAAACGATTTTGCCGACTCATGGGCTTATGCCCAGTAGCCCTCCTGCTCGGCGCCCAGTTGGACGTGTCCTCTTGGTAGCCCTCTTTACCAGCATCTTGGTCCTATCCTTTCTCAAGGGCGAGACTATCTTATCAGCAGTAAGTCCATCCTCAGAATTCTATTAGCTTCTATCATCCTTGAAGCTTAGCACTTCCACGATGCTAACTCTATGGTTCCATCAGATCACCGAAAACACTGAGGGCTGCGCCCGCAAAGCTCATGGAGCAACAAGTATCGCGGCGCTTCGCGTTCGAGATGTTAGTCCCCTACAAGGAGACACTGCTGTCTCTACAGATGGTCGCTCTGGATACAACCGTCGTGATGACACTGCTATTATCACCGACGGTCGTTCTGGCTACAACCGCCGTGACGAAGAGGCGACTGTCGGCACTGATGGACGTTCCGGATATAACCGCCGCGATGAAGATCAAGTCATGAATACAGACGGTCGGTCTGGCTACGATAAGCGCGAAGAAAATGCGGCTATTACGACAGATGGTAGATCTGGATATAATCGGCGCAACGCCAAGGAGACGTCTGATATGACCACGGATGGTCGTTCTGGGTACAACCGCCGTGAACAAGATGCCGCTATTACTACAGACGGACGATCTGGATACAACAGGCGCGAAGAGGCTCTTGACTCTATAACCGATGGCCGATCCGGGTACAACCGTCGCGAACAGGCTACTGATGCCACTACTGATGGAAGGTCAGGATATAATAAGCGGGAGGAAGCCTCTGCTATCACAACTGATGGCCGCTCGGGGTATAACCGTCGCGAAGAAGCCTCAGACGCCACTACTGATGGACGTTCCGGGTACAACAAGCGCGAAGACGTCTCTGCTATCGGCACTGATGGGCGCTCAGGGTACAATCGCCGAGAGAATGACGCTTCAGCCACGACTGACGGACGATCTGGCTACAACAAGCGCGAAGAGGCCCTTGATGCTACAACAGATGGTCAATCTGGTTACAACCGTCGTGAGGAGACAGATGGCCGCTCAGGATACAACAGTGTGGAAGACGGTCGCTCCGGTTACAACCGTCGCGAAGAGGGCTCGGACGCTACTACAGATGGACGATCGGGGTACAACGGTGTAGAAGACAGAGCTTCTGGGGTCGGTCGTCGCGAGGAGCTTGCTGGTGCCTCCACTGGTGGACGGTCTGGATACAACAAGCGGGAAGAGGCCGATAGCCGGTCTGGCTACACCAGTGTTGAAGACGGGCGCTCCGGATATAACAAGCGTGAGGAAAGCTCTGCTATCGGTACCGATGGACGCTCAGGTTACAACAGGCGTGACGAAGCCTCTGCCATCACTACCGATGGACGCTCTGGGTACAACCGCGCAGTCTAAGTCCGAAGGATTACGATACCCTGTAAATGCATTGCGCCTTAGATCCAGATTTTAGATACATCGAGCTCAAGCTCCGCCGTCAAATATTAATTCTAGTATTTACTTAGACTTAGACTGACGAAAAATTTCATCTCAGTTTCCTTGCACGACTTCTTTTGATGGACCCTTATATTTCGTCAGATCGCTCTTTTTTACAACAGTAGGATTACCTACTCACGCACATCCATGTCACAAACGCGTCAGGAAAGGTAGCCCCAATGCAGGTAGGAAGATCCTAAGGTAGGCCACCCGGATATTCAGTGTAACACGACCGGACCCCCCCATATGTAGTACCTTATCTTACATAAACGATGGCTTTGCTACTTTCAGGATCAGTCATGCTGAAAAGTCTGGCTATGCGAAGAGTATTATGGAGATCCTTCGGTCTTGCGCGGCCTTCCTGGAGTCTCTGAGTGCTTGCCGATGCCAAACATGGTATAACATGGTGTCTCTTAAACCTACTCATGGAGCTACACTCGGCTAAGAGCCGCGCTCGCAAAGTCACTTAAGGAGTATGATTGGAGCATACTTGGTCAGAAGCCACATCATACCGCCCGCGGTGGATCTGCTCTTACTCAGAGAGGTCCATGTGGACATTACTGTTTTCATTCCGAACAAGCTGGTGTGTAACGAATCTGCCATGAGCAAATTCTGCAGTCCTCCCACGCTCATCAACCAAAGCGGCCCTTCTGCCACCAACCCCCCTGAGCTTCATCGCCGGCCTTGACCTCTGTGACCGTACTCTTGGCCTTCCTCAGCGGGTCGACCTGGTTCACAATGAACTCATCCATGTATCGTCCCCCCGCTCCTCCTCCTTGATTGATGTTCTCTTGCCGAAGACTTGCTTCGCTGCCGACCCGCGACCTCCGATCCGGCTCCATCTCCATGTCGTCCTCGAGTTCCACGCTCTCCAACCTCCGAACTTCCCTCGTGACTTCAACCTCCTTGGTAACAAAGATACCGGGGAATCGTTGCCGCAGTACTGGCCAGAAAATCGGGACGCTACTGGCAACCATGGCCAGATCGACTTCGACGGCGGATAGGACGATGCTGAGGGGGCCGTACCACATGGGGTCTAATGTCGGACGAGTGGCGGATCGGTGTTGAATGATAGAGTATACTCGGACGACTGAGACGCCGTTGACCCTACAAATTGTGTTAGCGCTCTGGGGATCCCTGAGAGTGATGGTCCGCTGTTGGGGAAAACGAGGGACAAAACGCACGCAATGCCAATGACCAGCAGCGCAAGCAGTCTCAGCTTCGACTTAAGCGACTGTTGGGGTCTGAAGTAGAGCGGAACCGGGATGGCGAGAACAAGGACGTCTAAGGCAAAGTTGACCGAAGAGTGACTCTCATATGTTCCCGAGAATATATCAGAATTGAGCGAGCCGTATGCCCAACGTGTGGCTGGAATGGTCCAGTTCCAATATGCTGCGACTGGCACGCAGGGAACCCATCCCAGAAACGAGTAGGCGGTGGCCCATAAGCTGACAAAGATGATCAGGTAGATGCAGAGCGATCGAAGGAAGGACGGTCGGTCGAAGATGCGCAAGTATTGAAAGAGGAGAGAGATTTTGATAAAGGCGGTTGACATTTGGTAAGATGCGTTTGCAACGTAGAAGGTCTAAGGCAAGGGGTTCTTGATTAGCAAGTCAACATCATGAGCGACTATCGGCGGGTTGACTTCGTACTCGGAGGTAATTCTGGACTTCTGCCGCAGAGAGGGTATAGATATGTCTTCCCATCCCATATTTGGTAGCTATTGACCAAAGGATTAGTTTCACAGAAGCGAGAAAGGGAAATTTGGTGGGGTCCTACCGACACAAATTCCAACAGATCCAGTTGTTGTTGTTAACTGTGTTGAAATCCTCACGTGAGACATTGTTCGTCATCGAGAGAGTATACAGAGGGTTACACACCAACGACAATATCACGAAGCAATCATCCCATCCTAATGACTGAACCAACTTGGCTCGCACGTACATGCGGAAGGCGACACACATCCATGAGAAGATCTAAGCAACGTCGTTAGTCACATTGCTGATATGTCTTCGAACAACTTGGAGCTTACCGCGAAGGCAATAACCACGCCTAGGATAGTTGGAGTCTTGTTCACCAAGGGCGTAGGCTCGCCCGAGTTATCGGCCGTTCCATACAACGCATGGATTGTTGCTCCGTCCATGGTGATCACCACGGACCCAGACCAGACATTAGCTTAGGTTGAGGTTGACGTAAAGAGGAGGCTAGACCACCACCAAGCCAAAAGCAAGTCAAGACGTTGAAACGGAAACGAATGAGATGTCAGAATTGAAGCAAGCTCCATTCATGTCTCTCGAGGTTGTGGGAAGAAGAGAAAAAAGAAAGATAAACGCCGGGTCCCAAAGACGAGATCGACTCTAGAACGATCTGACCTGTTCCACGGCCGTGGTAATATATTCTGCTCACAGCAATGAGAAAACGGGCCTGGGCCATCGTTTCTTCGTCGTGCCCACTTTGACATATGCCGAATGCACAGATAAGACCGGGGAAGGCAAGGCGTAGACTTGGAAAAGGGTCCTGTCTCTCATGTTCCCTTCTACTCCACAGTCGAAACCATGCCCCCTTTTCCCAGTACGCCAGGAAGATTGCAACAACAAAGGCTTGCACAACTGTTTTTGGCGGGCGAAGAAAGCTGGACAAGCATCATGTTCGCTGTGTGGCTCTCAAGCCCCGGCGGCCCACGATGCCGTGCTGATCTCTCTGTCTGGTCCTGCTTGAAGGCGTCCGTGCGAATACAACCCCAACCCTCCCCCTGGTTGGACTAGTTCCCACCAGGAGCGACGTTCGCAAACCGCCTCTTCGAGTAGTCCTCCCATGTCCCCGGTCGTCGTCCGAATGAGTCTCCAAGGGCCAGAGAAACAGTTGGCCCCGGCAGGCAGGTGGAGGCTGTAAGTCCCGGATCATTCCAAAATCCAGTCTTCACAATCTGCAGGAGCTTGGACAGCCACGTTGTCACCATTCCACACCTTTTCTTTTGCACCAAAGTTGCAGACTAGTTCCCCTTCTGGAGTACGATCAACCCTGTGCAAGCATTGCATTCAGGTCCAGAAACCTGGTCTCACATGCAACTAAGACATGCAGAGCGCGTCTGCGAGGCGCCTAACCCCGAAACAGCGAAACATGGCAAGACATCCCACGAGGCACGTCTTTCTCCCCAATGCGCCACGAATTTGCCGCCGGGGAAAGAGAAGAATACTGGAGCAAAGCCTGTGATCAGTGACACGCACATCTACAACGCTGAAGCCTGGAAAGGAGAGTGGGAGGAAAAGGAAAAAGAGGAGTTTGTAACCCACGATCTCAAGATTCCGGCATTGCTGAAGTGAGAGGCGTTAACACCCCGGTTCCTTGCTCTGCGACGAGAGCTCGAGTCAGTGTAGCGCACATCATTGGGGGCGACCCGTGTGTTTCAGCGAGTTTTTGCGCCGTAAGCTTTTTTCTTTTCTTAAACACTGACTGGCGATTAACAGAAGGAGTTAAGAACTAAAGAAGCGCTTCGTGTGACGACTGTGACAAAATCCCTTACTAAGGTATGTGACGAAGCCAAGATGCCATCGGATCGTCCAAACTCGTCAATGAGGCAATTATGGTGTCCTGTCAAGCCAAGAAACTCCGAGTCGCATTATCCAATGCATCCCAATCCTCCCATCACTCGCCATTCACCATGAGGTTGCGTTCGCATCGGCTACTATCTTGTCTGCTCGATCGCAGCGAGTCAAGTCACCCGACACGGTTATAATTCTCGGTCTAAATGTCTTCAATAGTGGCAGAGATATTCTGCCTCACTATATTCATAAGCCACCATCACTGGCTTTAAATGGCCTATAATTGCGCCGTCTTAAGACCGAAAGCAAGATCTCAGCCGGCTATCGCGGACGCATCTCAGGTCATCCGGTTTGAAAAAGGAAGCCGCATCGCCGCACTATGCCGTGGTGTAGCGATTCAGGTCATGACAAGTGACGTTCTCAGGTGATTGGCAGTTTCTAGTGAGGTGATATTGGGACACAGACCTCGATCCAAATCACCCACGTGGGCCCTGATGTTGGTTTCGCGTTGCAATGGGGGCGACTTGAGGGAGGGGAAGATTTGCCGGATGATACGGAAGAGGTAGATTCAAGTTCCTGGAACTTTGAAGCTATGGTGAGCCTACAGTGCTTCAACATTAGTGGTTGAGTTCCAATCCCCGATTTTCGAAGTGAAGCTATCGCTGTCACCAGCCAGACTTACATATACGTCAATGAAAAGTAGGTGATTTCGCAACGTCTGAGAGCCAATTGTTGACAGCAGGCAGCATTATTCGATGGACTAGCAATGCCAGTGGCTACTCATGTTGAAACGGATGAATTGGATGGGGCTGAAGCGTGAGCTATCCTGATTACCGCCGCAATCTCAAGACTTGGCGTGTTGGTCCCCGCCGTAAATCAGACCAATATCGAGGTCCCCGGTGTGCTCGGACATCATTCAAATCAGACAATCGGACTCCCCATTGAAGCCCCTCAAAAAGATGCATTACCCAAATCGCAGCGTGTCGTACCTGACATAATGAGCCTACCTATCTGGTGGTGTCGGCCACTTTACGAATCATCGCAGTATTGAGCCCATGTTATGTGCAAACTGGGCTTAAATTGGAGCAGTAATTCTCCGAGCGTCTGACTCAGGTAACAGTGGATAAAACTCTCCCTGACAGCTGTCAACGCAGGTTTGTCGCAAATTGCAATCAAAAATTCTAGGTGTTTACGCCATGTAGAGCACCGGGCCGGCGGGAAAAGAATCAAATCGTGTCTCTGATGACGAGATCGTGCCCGTGCCAAACGTTCATAAACAACGAGACGGCTAGTTTGAGAGAACAAAACGACGAAACAAATTTGCCGAGTCCACCAAGTGGGAAACCCTGAAGACAAAAAGAGCATCAGCCCTTCTGAAGGCTATCTAGTTTTAAGTTTAAAAGCACGTTATTAGACGCGAACTGTGCCATGCAAAGGAAGCTACGACACAAAAGAGTCTAGCTTCTTTCAAAGAAGCTTTGGCGAGAAAGAGGTCAACGGCAGGCAACTCTGTTGGATGTTCCAGTCTTGTGCAACCCGAGCCGAATCATTGCGGAAAGTGGGCGACATGGGCGATCATGGAACATGACAAGAACATCTTGCTACCTTCCAAGAGTTGGGATTTCCCCTGGATACAAATAACAAACTCCCGCGGAATGGAGGATGGGGACGTCTAATCATTCCAAGCCTCCAAGGTACGGAGTATGGGTGCTGTATCAGTGGAGTTGGCGAAAACTTGAGTATGCGCCCCTGCGTTGGCCAACTCCACTGCGTGGTGGGGATTGCCCGGCTGAAGATCGTTGATGCGAGACATGAAAGGCGGAAAGTATGGCTCGACCGCTCGAGAGATCCTGACTTTCGACGAAACAACATGTCAGTCTTGGACATCGAGCTAGTGTAGCTCTCTATTCGCAGAGTCTAGACGTACATCGTGGTCCCGGACATCCCACCTCGAAACGTGAAATCGGGGCACCGGCTCCCACTGAGAAACTCCCGCTGAACTACGCGCCCGCTGCGGAAGCAAGAAATCGGAACCTTGCGCCGGTTTATCGGGAGTTGGACCCCTGCGGATAGTGTCCGAAGCGCCGTGTACAGGATGAGGCAAAGCCAGACTTCCACTGAACGAAAGATACTCAAAGCCTCCATTCCGAAGCCGTCTTCCGGATTGGACAGGTCCTCCGATTTCCTTTCCTCAGTACCGTGCCGTGTAGCTTTTCCTCTCGAACTCAGTCAGGGGCTTTGGCCGTGAGGGCTCTGAATATTCTGCTCACCTCGTGGACCAGCAATCCTCCCTTTTTGACATTTCCCCCTCTTTGACGTGGTAGCCGCTGTGAACCGTCAGTTCATCTGTCATTGTGATTGGGAACTCCAGGTCCAAGCTCCGTCTTCATATCGGAATACCGACGTGATCGTGACCCTTGAGAGATTGAAGATCATGGACCATAGTCAACCCATCAAAACTATGGTCCATACCTCCCTATCAACCATCAAGACATACCTGCATAAGCTGCATTGTTTGCTGTATCTTGACTCGGAGCTTCGGAAGTCACTACCCGTTTCAATACCATCATCTTCGTACGCTCCAGATCCGTACAGGCACATTTGTCCACAATCATTGAATTGACCAGTCAGAACAATTGGAATACCCAGAGTAAGTCAGAAACCGGGAGGCAAGCCCACGAGTAAGTCATCACTCTCTTTCGCTCCCCAGTTCACGATCCAGAAAAAAAGGGAGGCCCGAGCGAAGAGACCAGGTAGGGTATCATTCTCCCATGCAGCCTCTTGAATAAAATGTCCTAACAATGCCCCCATCCTGCATCCTACAGTGACATCCGCAGCATCGCACCGGCGCAGCTTCCGTCCAGATACCGTGAGGTGATCGTCATGTCAACCGCCCCCGCCGCAGTGTGGCCGGACCAGAGACTGGGAGTCTCCAAACCCGTGGTCGACGAATCGACGGTTCAACGGTCCTGAATCGATTCCCACTCCCGTCGCACAAAAGAATGCAATCTTGTGTCCACAACCCGTTGAAGAAAAAATAAGTGTTCCATCCTTCTCCACTGAAAGGATCATCAAAGTCGCAGAATGCAAGACACTGGCAATCCGCCCAAACTGCAACCATGAGCCTTTTTAAACATTCCCCACGAGACGAGGGCAAAGACACGCGAGTTGAAAGTCGCTGACTGGCTCCCTCCCACATAGTGACACTACTGCGCTACCCCCCAAATGCGTGTCACCGTGTCACGCCTCTCATCTCGCCAGCGACCCTGACAGAAATTCCGACGATCGGCGTTGAGGAAAGAAGCCAAGACCCGGGAGTTGTGATGGGGAGGATCCATATCGGATGGCACCCGACTCCGTTCTGTCTTGCACCTCTGCCAGACTGCCACCGCCTCTGATCCAGAAACCCCCCTTCTTCGTCGAATCGTCGCTTCTCTCTGCTGCTGTGTATGAATGCCCCCCTGCCCAGTGTCTGCCCCCCCCCCCCCAGCTGACGTCTACACACCAAGCATCGGAAGTTCTCTCCGTTCGTAGCAAAGGGGCCGAAAGAGGCAACAGGGTCGTGGAGGGGGGGGGGGGGGTTGTCAAGACACAATTCGCAAGCTACGCACCTTTTGGGACGATTGCGAGTTTTGTCCACTCTCTATCCGTCTTAATCCAAGTTTATCAGTATCACAGCCTCAAAGGTCAATTCTTCAACTTCAAGAAATGGGGGCCATGGGCCTGAAAATAGTCTTTCCATTAATTCGCTTCAATGCGTTCAGACTCTCAAAATGTATCCTGGGCTTGATCAAGAGTGAGCCCCGTTTGAATCCCACTTATGCGCCCGTCCCGCCAACAAAGATTGGGAAAACCATCAAACGCCTGTTCCTATCCAACCCGTATCCCTCTCTAACTTTTGATCTTGCGGAAATTCAGTTGCCAGAAGTATCACGCTAATGTGGCAGTCGCAATTGTGAGCCGAAGTTGTGACTTAGCCCACCGACGACCTCGCTCATCCCCCGCGCCCAAAACCTCCATGTCTCAAGGACACAGGGCCAAGCTTCACAGATCCATCCATCGCCCCTCTCGATTAATCTCTAATCTCCCCAGTGATGTATCCAATCTGCCTCCTCCCATTAACCCCCGCGTTGGTGAGTTGGCTCGCGAGGTTCGTCTGCCCGTCAACAAGCCTCCTCTGCTCCGCCAACCGCGCCCGGAACCTCTCCTCCTGCTCCCGGTCCAGACGATCCACGTCTTCCCTCTCCGCGACGCGAATCGCGCTCAGCGTCTTGGCCTGGTCGACCTTCTCCGTCGCGATCTGCTTCTCCCACTCGAGCATCATGCTCTGCCTCGCCATCGTCAGGTCCGACTCGGCCAGCTCCACGGCCCGCGCCCGCGTGATGCTCGCCTCCGTCAGCGCGGCCTGGTGCTCCAGGTCCGCGCTGCGCTCGTTGCGCTTCCGCCGCATCTGGGCTGCAAAGTGGTCCTCCTCGATGCGCGCGCGCTCGTTGAGCGCCACCAGCTCGTCCTGCGCGACGCGCTGCCGTCGAGAGTCCTCGAGCTCTGCCTGCGCGGACCAGATTTGCGCCTGCACTGTCGCCAGCTCGCGGTTGCGCGCGATGGAGAGGGCGTGGTCTTCCTGCTCGAGGTTGATGCGGTCGAGGCGGGCGCGGCGGGTGCGTTCTTGGGCTTCGACGTCCTCCGGCATGCCGACGGCGCCCTCGGGTTGGGGCCCCATGTTGGCGTAGTAGACGTCCTCGGCGCGGTTGGCGCGGAGGAGCTTGATGAGGGCGTCTTGC